CTGTAGCTGAACTCCCCGTTCGGGTGAGAGCAGGTCATATTGCCGTTGCTGGGCTCTTCCAGTCTGCTGCACTGCACAGCTGTAATGATAAGAGACAAGGTTACGATGCAACAATGTGAAGCCATGACATTCTGTTTTTGTTTTCGGGAAATTGAAAAAACAAAAAACTTGTCAAAGTGAGATACCTTCACATTGTGGTTGACTGTCATTCCATTGTCCAGATGCTGTGCAGGCAAGTGTGTCTGAGCTAGTGAGCCTGTAGCCTTTCTCACAGGCAAACTCACAAGCACTCCCAAAGCTGAAATTGCCAAGAGGATGCACACAATTCATCGAGCCCTTTGAAGGGATCACTAGTGCACCACATTGAACAGCTGAAAAACAAGAGCAAGATGATTTAATAAATGGGGCATAGGCATTTATTGTGCAGAAAAATGGGGATTATCATTCGCTCTGATGAATGATCAATGAATTTACTGTTCTGTCACGTCATAAATTTAAGCAAACATTAATTATAGGAAAGTAAATCAATATATCAGTATCAAAATATCCATATTGTTGAGAAAACTGACAGCAATATTTGTAAATTACATACTTCCCACTCAAATTTATATTAATTTATTTCAGCACCATTGTTATTGAAAGAAAACAGTCTGTACGGCGCAGGTTGGCAGGCAGGAGGGATAACATCAAGATTGTGAAGCTAACCTCTTAAAAAATACAGCCCCTTTATTAAGAATCTAAAATGAATATTCACGGAGACATACCTTCACAGACGGGTGGATCTGAGGACCACTGCTTGGAAGCAGTGCAGTGGATAGTTGTGGTAGCGTTTGGTCTATATCCATTTTCACAGCCAAATTCACAAGTTGATTTATAGAAGAAATTTCCAAAAGGATGGGAGCAATTGATAAACCCATTGCTGGGACTCTGCACGCTGTCACAGGCAACAGCTGAAAGAACAGAATTTTTGAAAGCAGGAACATTATTGATATTATTCACGGGACTTTTGAAAGAGCGTTGCAAGAAACACAACACAACATCACAATCAAAATTCAACACCTACCATGTTCGCATTTTTCTCCATAGAATCCATCATAGCATTTGCAGGTGTGGTTATTTATTGTTTCAATGCATTCCCCATTGGCACATGAAAAGGGCTGGCATGATGCTAGAAAACAATGAAAACAGTTTAGTTTCCTTAAGTCTCATTTCAGTGTATTTGCTTTAGTCACACACGAGCAATGCAGACCTTCACTTCTGTTTGAATGGCACTGCTCAGGCCGACTTCAGTTTCAACATACCTGTATAGCACAAAGCAGTTTTGCGCCGTTTGCAGTCTTCATCATTCCATTTCCCCTCATCTTTCTCTCTTTTGATGTAGATTTCCACACAGTCCTCGGCAGTCTTCTTATTGTTGGGTTCTCCTTTGGCCCAGTTCTCAGCTTCTGTGGTAAGTGTCTTGTTGGTTCCAACCCAGGTCCAAACTCCCTCTCTTTTCCGAATCCCGATCCAGTAATATTTATTTTGCTTTGGCAGAACTTCATTCAAGTATTCAATTTCTGCCTTATTCTGGATGGCAACCATATCGGTGTAATGCGTTTGGCACCATTCCCTGGCACTGTTCCAATCCAAAACTTCACTGGAGTAGTTGTAGGACCAGCTATCAACACATCCCCAGATGGAGAGCTCTAAAAACAAAAACAGCATGACAGTTTGAAGAAAAACAAGTGGCACAGTGATTATCAAGGTACATAATGGAGAGAAGTGGATCTTTAAAAAATTTACCCATTTTTAGGGTAAACATTTTCTTACCATGACATATTAAGCTCAAAAAGAACAAGGTAGTAAAACCCTTGGGGGTCTCAAACTGCTGTTTCCCAGTAAGAAAATCCTGTAGAAAAATAAAAAGTAACCATTTAATGACATTCCGTAAAAAATGTGAAAACTGCTCTTAATAATCAACTGTTTTGAAGTAGGTTCGTGCTTTAATTTGTGTGAATTAAAATGTAGACATAGTGAGCCTTTCTTTTTAATTACTTTATTTTGATAAAGTCTAATAAAATAATATTTAAAATCTAATAATACATGTTACTGCTAGCTTCATAAGCTAAAATCAGAACTAGAAAAGCTTCCCTGTGTAAAAATATAAATCCTAATTTTAACATAAAAACTTAATAAGAGAGAAGAAATCGATGGGAAAATGAATTAGTAGTAAGAAATGCAAATGCATTTTTCACATAATTGCCTTTCCCTTTTGCTTACCATGGTAAACTGGAAGGTCTGTTTGGTGGATCAGCGTTGCAGAATTGATCTTTTCGTGTCTTAATAGAAAATCAGCTAGTGTTCTTCACTGACATGCTGCAGGTATATATATGGTATGTTGACAGCAATTTCCACTGTTTCCCAGAATTTTCTGTGATGCTGTAATGGTCAGCTTTGGAATTTCCCTCACAGGAAATTGTTTTCCCTCTGCTTGGATTCTTTACAAAGGCATTGTTATCTAGCACCGAGCAGAAGTGTTCATTTAGAAGACCAGTTGCAGAAGACAAGGAAATGCACTCAAGTTCTGTTCAGGAAACCCTGTTTAGCAGTTTTCTTATCATAATAATCCCAGGAGAGCTCATGTGATTTCCTTTTTGACAGATAGATAAATAAGTAAATAGCAAATAATTTTAGAGAAAAATTGTCTTGAGCTAAAGATATTATTTCTTCATGCTAACTAATGAAGGGAATATACAAGTAAAAATAGTGTAGCGATCTTAGCCCAATTTATTTGTATATCTCTTTTGCATATGCTATACAGTGCCTTTCCAAACTATTGGGAAATGTTGTGTCCTTATAAAGACACATTTTTTCAAACTAGTGAAAATGAGTCTGCGCATGGTCCAATGACTGCTGAGAATTGTAAAGTAGTAGCAGACCAGACCTTTTTTCCCAATGTGAAGTCAGTTCCCTTAAAAGGAGCAGAGTGGTTCCATATCTCCATGGACCTTTGTGAGGTTTGCCACTTTAAACTAAATAGATTGAAACTAGAATCTGTTAATCTTTTTCTACAGGAGGGTCTCGACATTTGCAAGCACTCAGTGCAGTGAGCCATTCCCAAATTTGCATATAAACTAGTCCACCCCTATACCTTCACATAATGTGCCTTTTATGATAATTAAAGTACTAATGCATTGGATTCAAGTAAATTAAAATAACATTGATCAATTAAAACAGCCACAGTAATCACAAACCTATAGTAACCATGAATGTGGACGCCTGCACTTTCACTCCCAGACATTTCCCTACTCTGTGATGAGCACGCCCTATTGTAATGAAAATAAAACTGTCAGTAAGCTTGTAAAGTAGTCTCCAGCCTGTAATGCATGATGCCATGGCCAAAGAACTATGAGCATTTGTTAATATACAAAAACAAGGTGATGTAGAGATGCAGATGCTAGATAGTGGGTACCTGGACAAGAGGCAGGGATGGGGCTCACTCATCAGCTAGATTCGTCTCATGATCCTGGTCTGTTGTGCCACTAATTTGAATGCTGCACTTAACTTTCTGCTTGGTTTCACCCCGCTCTGCTCTTCGTCTATCCAAAACCCGGTCAACAAAACCGAAACATCAATAAGCAAATCTGTGAATGTTCAATTTGCAGATGCTGAGACCCTATGGTATTCATCTTCAGCTGTGGATTCTAGAATATTATATAATGATTCTTCAATAATTTCTCCTGACTCTTTGCTACTTGGACAAGAAGGTGTATAATACCCAAACAAGCACAGAATAAACTAAAAAGAGGACATTTTGTTAAAGAGTGTATTAAGTAGAAAATGATGGCGTGACTTGATGCAGATCATTAATCTGTCTCCACTGTTAGTCTTTGTTGAAGGTGGACCAAACAAGTTTTACAGTGAGTGTTTGCAGAACTTTTTCTTGACTTTTTCTTGACTTTCACAACCGTTTTCCCCTTCAAATTATGAGCTGAAAAACGGAATGAAAGGACTTTATTCACGTTAATGAAGCAATACATTGTGACTGAGAATTTAGATACCCCTCTGTTCGTATGCAGGTTTGCATTCAGGAATTCTGGGGCATGGAAAAAATAATTAAGGAAGGACCACCATGTAGCAGCTAGCGAAACAGCTAGCACACATTAACCAGATTATTCTTTTAAATCTGACATTTACAGCATTATTTAGATATATATAAAAACATGCTGGTGGAACAGCAGAGGTGTGGCCAGATCAGGGCGGTAGACACCATCAGAGCCTTGCAAACCCCAACCCTAAATACTGGTATCTACTGGCAATTCTAAGGTCCCACTTTGGGGATAGAGGGAGTTTATCCCAGAGAAGAGGTAATAGGCTAGTAGTGGGAAAAGATGTGGCGCTTTGTAATACGCAGGTGTATTGTATTTCCCAGTTGTTTCCCTAAACTAAAAATAAGACCACAATTAGATAAATGCAATTTAGAATATTAAAAACAGTGTATTAGAATACATTACGAATACTACAATGACTTGAAAATCCAGATGGATTCAATCAATTTTGCAATCAATTAAAATCAAGATGCAATCAATTTTGAAACTGTTTAATTACTCGATTGTGTTTGATTACTGATTGTGCTTTCGGTGGAACGTTAATTCTCCTTTATGGATTCTAATAGAGCCAAGAACTGGAGATGTCACTCCCATTCAGGATAACTGTGCATAATAAAAAGGGATCGTAACTCAATCACCACACACGTTACCCCACAATCAATATCAGTGTTCTAGTATTGAAAATTATATATATATATTTCATATATATATTTCAGTTGTGAAGATGTCATAACCAAGTAATATTTTTAGACAGATGTCAGAAGGGAGTTTAATCCAGTAATCTCACTGCTCATTACAGGAAAGGAAATGACCAGACAAAGTTTATACAACCAAACTGGCGCCTTTCCTACAACACAATATTGGAGAAATTCCACTACGTCTGCTGGGCTGAAAGTCTCTACATATATTTCCTGGAACACACTTCAAATTACTCTATACATAGCTATAAGCAAAATCTTCAATATTTGTATAGTAAAAAATATTTAGTACAATAAGTATATTTTATGCCACTAACTCAACACATTCTCTTTTTAAAAATTTGGACATTAATATGCACCTTCAACTGTATCAAACTGTGTGTTATCATCTTGATGCAGAGCCAAGGCTTAGGTGAAACCCTTGGAAATTGAGAAAGGAAGCCTGTGAAACTCTTAATGTGCAGTATAATTATATTATAATGTCTGAAGACGAGAAGGATAAGTGATTTACCGATATAACTTTGTACTGGGAAAGCACCTCATGTAAATAGGAAATCCAGAGAGCTTTTTGCATGCGAGCCAAAGTAAAAATGCTTAATACTGTCACACGCTTCACCGCTAAAGTTTTGATTAAAAAACAATTATAAAAATAGTCAGCCCAAGAAATGACACCTTGTTTTAAATCCGGTTTATCCCAGTGGGTGAAGGAAAAAAAGAATTAATTAAAAAAAAATTCTTTCAAATAACAGAATGCTGAACACATCAAAACGAAGGAGTCCATCAAACAAAGGAGAAGATACAGGAAACAATTCTTTCAATTTCACAGCGATGATAACAAACATCCCATTTCGCTTTCTTGAAAGATAAGACTTCAGTGTACTGTAGTTGTATTTAAAAATCCATTAATCAAAAAATATTATGTTCCAAAGAATTTATTACAATACATCTAAATTGTATTCACACTGTTCCGGTTAATCAGAGTTAAGGTTTATGTAATCTCGGCTGACAAACTCACAAAAGTGACACAATAAGTAAGACTTAACCTGATCAGTGTGTTTAATCATTAAGTGATGATGGAAAATAAAGATGAAATAAAGCTGAGATAGAGATGAAACAGCTATGGAATGAAGCGGAAATAAATAGGAATGGAATAAAGATGGAATTATACCTTCTGCTCTGAAAGAATATAAGTGAGAAAAAATATTTGAAAATAAATTAGATGTTTTTTATACATTGTCAAATGCCAGAAAGATCTAAATTCACATGGTCAACAAACAAAAGTGGCACAAGGGAGACTAGGTTTGAAACAAGGTAGAGAACTTTCTTTCTTTAAATTAAGAGCTACAAATGCACTATAAACTAATTGAAAAACAAAATCAAATGGAAAACATACAAATCTCGTAAATTCTTGGGACCAATACAGAGCAAAACATATAAGGGTAGTCTATGAATGGATTCTAAGAGCCCCATAGAACAACCACAATTCAGCCAACCCAGAGACTACAATAAGTAGGGACTATGCTTACTCAGGATTAAGACTTCGCTGTACTTTACTATATTTGACCATGGAAACACCATATAGACACGTTTACAATAGTGCACTATTGCACTCCTGGTGCAAAATGTTAGTGAAGTGTCACATGCAAGACTCCTTCAGTAAATGTGCCATGGTAAACGCTGTTAAGGCAATGGCTGACATGACTTTACTGCCTGTCAGCAAGTCCCACCAAACAGACCCATTGAAAGATGTAAACAACTCTTTCCTACTTTCTTTCGCAGCGCAGATATGACTAATTTTAGCATCGAGTGGGTTTAAATACAGTGGTTGTGCCTCAGTGGAGCTTCAGAAACGTTTCAAGTTCTGATTTCCACAAAGGAAATAATAAAGACGTGAGGGTGTTAGTCACACTGTTGCCATTCTAAAAGTACAGCCTAGCTAGTTACTGTTAATTCCAGCTGAAATCATTTCACTTTATCTGCACGGTCATTTGTCCATTGTTCTCTTATAAATCGCCAAAATAAACGTTTGGATTAATTAGTCATTCACATTTTGGATTTTCCCGACTCAGGAAATGTCTGCAGGGGGAGAAGCTAGCTGTTAACACAGCTTCTGCCTGGGGCCTGCACTGCATATACACCTTGATCAGACAATGGTTTGCCAGTCAATCAGCAAATTATTATTATTTTTTATTAAATGAGGCAACATTTGAAGGTGAGCATTGTCTCTAGGTGCTTCCTTTTAGAAAACACACCAACAAAGCACAGTTAAGGTACCGAAAAACTTTAGAGAAAGCACAGGAAGGTCTCAAACCACAGATGAAAGACTCAACATAATGTATTTTTACAGGAAGCTTCTACGTTTTCAAGAACCTAAGCGTTTTTAAGCACCCTAAAAACATAGGATGGTGTACAAACTGGATAAACAAACACCAATCAGAAAGAGGTGGTTCGGTGAGAAAGAAAAACATTTTAAAAGAGGAAAGTCTGAGCAAATGATTTCCTTCCTAAAACATGAGATAACTCGACGTTAAATGTATATGCAACTTACATTTATGTAAAAAAAGACTCTTACAGTGTCATTATCAGCCAGATGGGTCATTAAAGTAAAATAAACAACATTATGAGAAGGAAAATAGAGCAAACAATGAAGGTGTCTTTAAACCATACAGTTTTAGCAATCCTAACTCTTCACAGAGATATTGGGTATTTAAGTACTCTGAACCTTTCGCTGATGCCTGCTCTCTTACTGTATGTCAACTTTCTTTACCCTGTAATTTCACCAAACTGTGATATCTAAGCCGGTAAACATCTTATAAATTGGATTATTTGCTTGGAAATGTGACACACAACAGCAGAAAATTGCTCAGCTTGTACTGTAGCACCACATACAATTGTTTTTACCAAATATGGGCGACGTCATAGCAGAACAGCTGTTATATAATTGTGCGTTATGAGGCTAAGTCTGCTATGAAATAATTCTTTATTGCAATATTCCCATATATTAATTCAAACAATGCTTTACATCTCTACAGGTTTCATCCATCCATTTTCTAACCAAGTCTTCCAACTCAGAGACACAGGGGAGCTGGAGCCTATCCCAGCAAGCAACGGGCGCAAGGCAGGGTACACCCTGGACAGGACGGCAGTCCATGGCAGGGCAGGGACACACAGACTCACACCAGTGCCAGCATTCCCAGAAGCCAATTCACCTACCAGTATGTTTTGGACTGGGGGGAGAGAAACCATAGCACCCAGAAGAGACCCACACAAACATGGGGAGGACACACAAACTCAACGCTGGTAGCACCTCAGGTCTGGAATTGAACCCGGTGCTCCAGAGCTGTGGTTTAGCAATGTGTCACTATGCTGCTAGATCTCTACGCGGTTTTTTTTACCAATATTTTTTCTTTAAGAAAAATAATAAATGCGCTGTAGATCTTTGCACTACATGTTTATCGTTGGTGATCTTGCAAAATCTCTAATTTCTATAAAAAGACTTGTAGAAAACTGGCCAACCTCACAACAAACATGACCTCCAAAGGCCTCTTAACTGCACCTTATTGTTGTACAAAGGGAAACGGTGAACTTCGCAGTATAGAGAGAACAGCATATGCGGAGATTTAAAACAACAACAGGAAAATAAGGGTAATATAAATGCCAGCTGACAAAGCAGACTTGGTGAAGTACGCCGCTCATTGATCAACAAAGAATTGGATTAGCTGTGCCTGATACTCCAGTATGGTGTTAAATCGCCTAGTGCAAGCTACATTTTTACTTTAAATCAAATTAAAAGTATACTGAAATATGACTTTATGAAGCACTTTGGGATAGTAAGACGATCCCGATTTTACATCGATAGTAAGATGATGTAAAGACTATATTATATGGTGGGAAATCTTACTGATTGGGGTTAGTGGATTTGCACAGTCTGACAATTTGACTCGTGATTGCTATGAACTTAAATAACTGTGTCGCTTTAAAGTTCATCCGTCACAAACACTGGTTTTCCACGTATGACGAAGCTCCACCCAGAATAACAAAAAGAATTGCCAACAGAGAAGCGGTAGTGAGCTGTTTTATCAGAACCGGAGAAGGCCATGGCTGATTTGTTGAGTAAAGTCTCTGATGTTGAAATAGACACCGACGGAGTATTTAAATACATTCTAGTGAGGGTGAAAACGAAAGATGGGTCTCAGCACAAAGATATAGTGAGAGGCACGGCGAGTGCCGAGTTCCACAGTAAGTTCAGCTCGCTGGATGAGGTTACCTAAATAATTCGAGCGATTTACACGCCTCCATAAGTCCAGTGTTTGCAAGTGCTGGAGAATAAAGATTGGTTTTATGTAGCGTTAAGGTTATTATATGTGAAATATTGAAAAATATAGTGTCCTTCAGGAAGGAAAACTAAACGTTTTAAAAATAAAATGTGCCTACTCGCATGTTCTATTTTTAAATACCAAACGTAGCTTGAAAAAGAACTTCGTGACACAGGCATTTGATTGTAAAGTATAACGAGATTGCCCCGATACATAGATATAAAGGGGGTATACCTAATACAAGAAATGTTGCATTAAGAACATTTTTTATCAAGTTATGATTATGTATTTTCTTTTTTTTTTCCTTTTGTCCCAAACGTATACTATGCACTGTTTGAGTTATATGTATTTGCGAGGTTTGGTCATGTTCTGTATTCGTTTGTGATGAGTAAACACAATCTTAAAATATTGAAATTAAGTACATTTTAATTCGAAATTAAAGAAAGAAAATCATAAGGGGTGCAAACGTCACCGAGACCAACATTGTGGGATGACCGCCACATGACCATAACTGGACCGAGATCGTACGCATGACCTAGACACCCACTTCTTTTCTTTCCTCACAGATCACATATTTGAGAAGGTAAATCCTGAGATGGAAAATTTAGGAATGGAATGCAGCTGTCTGGGAGGAGGGAAGGTCGAACACAACAGTAAAGAGAAGAAAATCAGGGTGTTCGGTCTTTCCACCGTAAGTTCAACCTCAACCCTTCCATTTGGACCCTGAAGTTTCATGTGCGGTCATAAAAGGGTTGAAACCTGCGATGGACTGTTGACCCGTTCAGGGTGTAGTCCTGTTTCAAACTCTGTTTCCAGGATGGGCTCCTGGTTACTGCAATTCTTTCCAGGAATAAACGGCATTCTGATAATGGCTGAACAGTTATTGCTTTGCTTTGAAAGCATGCAGTCGCAATTCCTTTAACTATCTGAAGACAGTTGGCAGAAAATGCTCATTCATTTATGCAGTCTTGGCTGGTGTAAAGACGCTTTTCCTTAGATATACAAAACCTTTTTTTTCTTTCAGGGTTATGGAAAAGCTGATCACTCCTTGACGGTTGAGAAATTGAAGGCTGTCTTCAAAGACTATGAAATAACCTGGTCTGATGATAAGAAATAGATTGAAAAAAATATACATAATAAAATATTAAGGATTGCACTAAACATATATCCCACTGTTTATATAACAGACATTATTTTCCCATGTGTAAATAAACTTGAGTGTCAGTGTTAGATGAATTATGATGTGCGGTATTATATCTTTAAAGCTAATAAAAATGATTCATACTACATGGGAAATTTTACCCCAAAAGTACAATGTACCCTTTTCCCTCATTACTAAGTTAAAGTCCTGTTAATCTGTATTGGATTCAAGAAGACAATCAAGTGTTCGGATATGATTTAAGACTGAAAAATAAATCAGTTCAAACAGCTCTGTTGTCCCCCTTGGCTGTTTTTAATGATAGTCTTGTCACTCGTACTGTAAGGAACCAGGCAGGAAACAAAACATTGAAAGAGATGAGAAATGAAAAGAGATAGTTTGAGAGAGGAGATCATCTGGCCCATAATTATTTGGTTGGTTGTACTGTAGGTGTCTGGTTGAAGGATCTCTCCCAGTCCTTTCTTGTACGGAAGCCTAGTGTGTGAGCTTCAATAAGATGACTGAGCAGCATGTTTCAGACTCCTACAATACTAAATGTAAGGACATTACTCTTGTTGTTAGTCTTAAATGCAGGTCTCTGTACTTTACAGTTCTGTCACCTGGTTCATGTTTCACGGTTAACCTTGAAGTCTAAGAGGTCTTTGTCAGTTTTCTGAGATTCTAAAAACTCGAAACAAGCCCAGTCAAAAGAGAAGGCCAAACATATTTGATTATTTTAACCTCTCAGTCTAGCGTTTAATTCCATACTTCATGATGTCGATGTTATTGAAGTTTCAAATCTTAAAGGTCCCCTTTTCAGGCCTTTAAGGCCCCTAGGGGAATGGGGGGCAAGGGCCACCATTTTTCTCAACCATCTGACACTGGAGGTGGAGTTGATGTGGTCAGCATCGCGCTCCGGCCAGCCTGTTGCCCCCAGAAGGATTAACCCCCCAGTACTCATTTGGAAAGCAGGCTGAGTGGACCTGGGTGCCATCTGGAAGGAATTAGAGCAAGCTATATTTCTTGCCCCTACCTGGGATTAAACCCTGGGACCTTCTGGTCAGGAGCTAGACACCCTTGCTGTCTGAGCTACCACGACTCCTAATCTTAAAACATATATTGTAGTCCTTAAAGATTTGTGCTAAGGTGGAAGTGTCTCTAGGAAAGCCCTAGAGAATCAGTCTTGGAATACTATTTGTTTTATTTCGACTAAGATTGTATAACGTTTTTATCATTCTTGATATAGAATATCTTGTTGTCTAGTACAGTTTTTTTGTGAGCTGCCCTGGCTTTGTTGAAGCTGATACCCTGGTTTCTCTCAAGAAATTTTTGGATGAGATCCTTGGATCAGTTAACTAGTAACTACCAAACTTGTTACATATATTAAGTCAAATGGTCTCCTTTCTTTTGCAAGATTTTATATGTTCTTCTTCAGATTAACCAGTTCCATTGTAACGTGAGTTAACATCTGTGCAAAGCAAGGTTTTAAAGCCATGCTGTATATTCTATAAATTTTGCTCTCGGTAACCTTGTAACATCTCAGAGTCCACCAGGCTGAAATTATTAAATGAAGCAGCATAAGCCTGGAATTATTCCAAAAGCAATGAGATTCCAAATCCCTAAAGCTATGTGACGGGGGGTGATTATGGCACATAGCTTCAATGTGCATTGTACAAAGAGGAAACCATCAGCTACAGAGGAGACCATAGAGGATGCTGGTGTGAGATGTGCCAAATAAAAAGCATATCCTGTTTCCGTTTAAAGAAGAGTCTTCTTTCTGTTAGGACCTGGAAAACAGGTCAGTGAAAGATACATACAACAAAGACTGAACAAAGAGTTGATATACATCTTCATCAGCTAGTGGCAAAAGAAGGTCAGTCTAAGACTTTCACCAGGCTGTATTTGCTCTGCCCTGTGTACAGATGGGTCTTATGCTACTTCCTTACCTCGTTTTTTAATTGACATATAAAAAATGAAATGTTCTGACTCTGTAAACATGTTTTCCTATTATGATACGTGGTTATTTTTCGCTCTCCAACCCGCCTTCTCTGCCTGACCTTGGTATTAAAGGGTATTGAGCACATTCATCTGTTATACAATGAATCTTTCCACCGTTCCGATGCCAAGTTCCCTTATCCTGATTATTTTTTTTCAAATCTGCTCATTTAAAAAGGAAGATTTAGTTTGAAAGATACTTGGCTTTGAGTAAGGTTTCCTTAGTATTTCTGGGTTAATGCAACATTTGACACAAACAGGACTTTTTGAGAAATTCCCTGCTCCGCTAATGAGTTTAACAAATGGGAGGAAAAACAGTAAGTGTTACTAAAGAAAATGACAACCTATATAGTAATGCAGTACTTCTTAACCTTTACTGCAGTTTGCATCCCTGCGGTTCTCAAAATATGTTCTGGCAGCCATTTAAAAAAATTCATGAAGTACAATGCGTCAGTTCTTTAAACCTAAGCTACAGTGTGTATATCTGTATATCATTACTATAGAATGAAAGAGAAATAATTATATATTTTTATTTTGCAGCAAAATTCCACTTTTTGTCTACTTTAAAATACCTAGGTTAGGTTCAACAACTCAGCTGTACTTACATGCTTGTGCTTTAAGCGATTTACCTTCCAAAAGATCTGGGATGTCTCACATCCCTGATGAAGAACCCACCTCTGTTCTAATGACATTTTCACAATTGAGACAAACAGTATTCATGTGCTCTTCAAAAAACATATTGTTTCTTAATATCCCGTAATAGTTATGTTTTATGCATATGAAAGTAGAAGTGTCAGTTAATATTAAGGTATATATTTGTGGAAGCATTTCTGATTTATTCCTTGATTTTTATGCCATTGTGATGTCTATTGTACAGGATATGAATACTATTTACCATGAATATACTTATGATGGTCCTGCCGTCATCAGAAAAAAAAAAACAACTCTAGATTATTTTGTCTGTGTGAAGTTCACATTTCCGAGAAACTGGTAGGCAGATAATATAGAGTACAGGACACATTAACATGTTTTGTGATTTATATCAAAGAACTTCAGTCTAGAACTGAAGAATCTGTTAAAACTTTTAACTTGAATAGCAAGTCTCACTCCACTGCCTTATTGGTTAGGCTCACATTAACAGGGAAATGCAGGTGGAATGGAGTATACTTCTGCTCAATTCATTATCCATCCTTTTTTTTTAACTGCTTCACCCAATTCAGGATCGCGGGGCAGCCGGAGCCTATGGGTGTAAGGCTGGGAACACCACAACCTTAACCCAGCCAGTCCATTGCAGGGCTCACACAGTCACACACACACACTCGCACTTAGTGCCAGTTTTCCCAGCAGTACCAGTATGTTTTTGGACTGTGGGAGAGAACCAGAGCAGCCGGAGGAAACCCATGCGACCAAAGGGAGAACACACCGAAAAAGCTCCAAGGTTCGGATCTGAACCCAGGGCCCCAGTGCCAAAACCTCAATTAGATATGAAAAAACAATATTTTACAAGCATCTGTTTTCCTGCTGTAGAATGTCTTGTTGTTCAGTTGTCCTAAGACTGGGAAGCACGGATCTCCGGTGCAGCACAACTTAGAAAAGTCCAGGAATTGCAGTTAGGGATAGCTGCAACATGGAAGTTCTTAGGAAGCTGAAGGGAGGAGTAACAACAGACAAAGTCAATTTCATCCAGCTTTTTTAAATCATAATCATTACTGATTTATTCTATTTATATATCTCACATAAACACCTCTTCACAGTTTTGTTGCATAAATCCCTCCTCCACTCCATTTCTACCTTTGCCACTACCCCTTGGTTAACTCCTCACTCTGAATGGGGGGTCTCGGCCTCCTCCTGTCCTCTGGCCAGGGGGCCGCGCCTTAACCAAGCGAGCTTAAAATATTCCATAAACATTCACAAAGCATCGGATGTTTGTATTCCAGTGAACTTTCATCTAAAGTATGAATCAGACCTACTCTGCTGAAAGTCTCCAGGTACACAAAGGCAGGCGTTTTACATACAGTATCAATAGAGAAAGGAACCTTTGACTGTTACAGCCGCCTGTTTTGATTGGCATTAAGATTGAGTCGATGACAGATGGTGGGAAATTAGCATTCTGGTTTTGATTTCTATTCTGAGAAGTTTTGAAGTAAATGAACATGTTGAATTCCCAGAATTATCGCAATTGTATTCAGCAGCCCTATACTGTATAACTATGGAAAGAAAAAGTGATGGGAAACAACGGTTTAAAGCAGGGCGCATATATAAATAATGTAGACTACATGGAACTCTCCCAGTGTACCTGTATCTTGAATTCCTTTATTAGCATTCAATTTCTGTTGTACTTTAAAAAGCTGTACAGAAACAGTCCCCGATTCCGGATCAAATTGGATTTCAGGTCGTGCGATTTCAGTTTTCATCGTAGGGAAGAAATGCGCATGAAAGATAGAGATGGTTTTGGGGGTCAAAACGCAGTTCTTTGATGTGGAAATGATTACAAAGCATGTATACAAGTTGGAAACTCTTTGACTATGCTGTAGAAAGCCAACCCTTTGGTAAATATTTTATTGTTTTAGCTTGAGTTTCCTGGCAATAGACAAAAGATCAAGACTCAATTGACATTAGAACTCAAACTTTCGAAAATGACCAGTACGTTAGTGCTAGTATAAGTGCTTTTCCTATTTTTCACCACCTGTGCTGGGGTCACATGAACAGTAGGATTCCTCCCTGCCAGAAGCATGAGATGAGCAGGAAGTACTCACTCTAGCCTGTGTTTTGGCAGTGTCCATTAAATTTCTTTGGATTGCAGGCCTGGGTTTTGGCAGTGTCTATTAAACGTCTACAGAGTGCACATCCTGCTCATCGCATTGCTTTGATTGATTCCTGTTGGACAACACTTCACCAGCACACACCAGTGTGTGTCCTTTTCTCTTTTTTGTGCCCGCTCTCTCAGATCCATCCCCTAATTGGCTCTATAGTGCTTGGCACACAATTAATTCACAAACCTTTAGTTCCCTGTACTATTAGAACATGAAACAAGACCAAATTACAGATAAGCGTTTAAAGGGAATTATGTGGCATGTTTTTGGCAAATTGTTTGGTTAGTTCCCTATATGAATAGAGTTTTCTACAGTAACTTCAGAAACGTTCTGTATTTATGACTTTTGCAGATACAGCCACATAAAGTTAGGATGCATGCAAGAACAAATACATTAATTCTGGGAGCCAACCACAAAGGGCTTGGTACTTGATGAGAAGGTCACATTTATTTAACAATGCTACGATAAAAGGATATCAGATTTATTTCTTGCTAATGTTACATTGAATTAGAACATTAAGGAAGTGATAATGAACTGTGCTTTCCACAACCAAGGTACTACACCCTTCCTGAACAGCACTTCCTTGCACTTCAAGGCATATGGTAATAATACACATGTATACGGACAGTGCATTGTGAACCACATTGTGAACCATTGTGATTAAATATGTCTAATCCATCCGTGTTCTAAACCACTTTATCCAGTACAGGTCACAAGGGAGCTGGAGCCTATCCCAGCAGGCAATGGGCACAGGACAGGCTACACTCTGTATGGCCAGTCCTTCGCAGGGCATGCACAGATATAGACACAAACACCCATACACTCAAACCAGGGCCAATTTTTACCGAAGCCAATTAACCTACCAGCATGTCTTCGGACAGTGGGAGGAAACTAGATCACATAGAGGGAACCCATGTGAAACCATACAAACTCCACGCAGATAGCACCCCAGGTCCAGAATGGAACCCCAAGACCCCTGCTCTGTAAGAAAGGATTGCTAACCACAGCACACTGACAGTGATGTGAAAAAGAAAGTACACCCTCTTAAGAGTCTATGGTTTTACATTCTTACTTCACTTCAATTCACTTACTTTTTCATACAAAGCTACTGAATGTTGGCTTATTTTTGTTTAATAAATAAGGAAAAAGTACAATTTATGCATGTTATTTGTCACATGAGGTTGGATTTATTTACTGGGCTTTGTGAGGACTAGATGAAGGTCAGCTATGTTGTAATATGTAAAACCATAGAATTGTAAGGGGAGTCTTACAATTCTATGTAAGTTTTTTTCACATCACTGTATATCTGTAATCTTTCTTTAATATGAAATAAAATTATACATATTGTGCTATGTCAGTTTTCTTTATATGCATTGCCTTGCAAAAGTAATCAGACCCTTGCGCATTTTTCTTTACATTTTGTTGCTTTAAAACTCGGAGTCACGACTCTTTAAAATTGCTGTTAATATTACTTCTACATACAATTTACTCCACACACACAATACAAAAAAATAACAAAAAGAAGGAAGCCAATAGATCATTAAAATGAAAAGAAAAACGGAAAAGTCATGATTGCATGAGTATTCAGACCCTTTGCTGTGACAAACTTAAATTAATATAAGTGCACAAAGTGATCTTAATTAGCCATACAATTAATGAAGGTTGTCACGATTTCAGAATAAAATCATCACTTTTAAATATTTTTAGAACCACGCCTTTCAAGCAAAGCCTCAACAACGAAGCCTAAGGAGCTTTCAAAGTCGGTCAGGGAGAAAGTAATTGAAAAGCACAGATCAGGAGATGAGTACAAAAATGCTAAAGTCTCTGAATATCCCTGAATCTCCTCAATCATCCAGAAATGTAAGATGCATTGTACCACCCAGACATTGCCTAGACCAGAGTGTTCCTCCAAACTGGGCAGCCATGCATGCAGGATACCATGAGGCCAATTTGAAAAGTACTACAGAAACCAATGGCAGAGATGGGAGAAAATGACCATGGGTCAACAACGTCACAAGCACTTCATAAATCTGGCTTCTACCCCTCTCACATCCTGCACGGAATTTGCAACAAAGCATGGGAGTCTTACTGCAAAAATACTGCTGAAGGTTTTGTGGTCAGATGGGACAAAAGTGGACCTTTTGGTCTAAATGGAAAGTGCTATATCTGGCACCAACTTAATACAGTGCATCTTGACACCCATACTGTCATGAACGGTGATGGCAGGATCATGTTAATGGTTTGCTCTTCATCAGCACCGGTGGGGATTTGTGAAATCTGAGGGGAAAATGGATAAAGCAAAAAAGCAGGAAAACCTGCCTCAGTCTGCTATAAACCTAAACTAAGATGAAAGTTTAACTTTTCCCAGACCAATCACCCAAGCACAAGGCTGAAGCTACACTGGAGTCACTTAAGACTAAGAAACTGAAAGGCCTTGAGTGGCCCTTGTCTACGTTATGACTTGAATCCTGTTCAGGATCTACAGAAAATCCTGAAAACTGCTGACCGTAAGCGATCCCCATGCAATTTCAGAGAACTTAAAAAAGTAAACAAAGTAAATTTGTTGACAAGTATTGGCAATCATTTGCACCAAGCTGCAAACTGGTCTCAATACTTATGCAGTCTATATATTTAAGCCTTTTCTCTTTAGGTTCTGATGACATACAGTATAGGTAACATATAGTCAATGTATCTTTCCTTTAAACGTCTTCTGTTTGAGTATTCAGGTTTTGAAGTTTTACATTTTTTAAAAAAATGCATCATTTTTAATTTGAGAAAATGGCGCACCATAGGAAGGGTTGGAATATTTTTGCAAGGTACTATATAACTAAAATTGCAATATTGACTTTACCAGTGTATTGAAAGCACATAAATTCTGAAACATGGTCAATGTACAGTACAAGTGAGATGAATTTTAAAACATTAAGTCAGAAACCCTTCGCGGTAAGCACACATTTGGCTTGGTAGTGTTTACTTCACCATATCATAGGTCCAGATTCCTGTAGTTGTTTTTCACAGTTTATTCTCTCTTTACTCAGAAAATGTGTTTTACAGGAAACAGCTTTAGTCTATCGGTGTTATCACTGTGAAAAATATCTTCCTTTCACAAAACACAATAATCTAAAAGCAGAACTAACCGCTGGGTGTGTTCAGACCTGATTTCCTACGATGTAGGTGAAAAGTGAATTTTAAACAATTTATTTAAAAATACATTAATAGTATTTAGAAAGATCAACATTTGAAATTGTGCCGTCACTGCGCCTGTTAGCTTGTACTGTATGTTTTCCACTGAATTCCATGCTACAGATGAGCTATTTTAGGTGATAAAATAGTCTATAAAACGAAACGCCAAAGACACACTTTGTATACAAATTGGGG